ACTACTATTACTATTATTATTATTATTATCACACGAAGCTTGAAACTTTGATTTCATTGGAGCGACAAATTAATGTTTATGACATCGTAGTGGCGTTGGTGGGGGCCCATATTTGACCGACGTGGGAATCCCACTAACTGCTCCTGGCCACATCCACTGGATGGATCCACACAACTTTTTTCACATCAACAGATTAATTTCACAATTTATATTATATATATATCATTAACATGACTGTTTAGAGATGGTACCGTATATACCAACAGGGACTACAAACCGGGTAATAGGTAATATAATATTTAGTATAGGCCTAATATTAGAAGTTTTCATACTATTATATGTTCTATATTTCTATTTATAGTTATTGCTAATTGGTATCTTCATTGCGGTGGCTGCAAGCCCTTCTGAAGGCTATCGGCGATGTCCAAGATTTTGGGTTCCATATAGATTAAGTTGTTATCGAGTGTTCTCATACTTAAAGACTTGGCAGGAGGCAGAATCTTTTTGCTCTAGTTCACGAAGTTCAGGAAGTAGAGGTCACCTCGTCAGCATCGGTAGTGGTGCTGAAAACCGTTTTGTCGTGACGCTTTGGAGAACTTCTCATGGTGTGTTAGCTTGGAGGAACACATACTGGATTGGTTTGAAGAGGTCGGGTCATAGTTGGCGTTGGTCGGACGGATCAACAAGATACCGGTACACAAATTGGGGAACAGGTGAACCTAATAACCATCGGAGACGAGAAGATTGTGCCAACCAGTTCAATGAGCATGATAATTACCATAAATGGAATGACAATAGCTGCTCGACGAGGTTATCATTCGTATGCGAGACATAGAAAATTCCCCAAAGTGATTCTGACATATGTTTGCAGCACCTTATATAGCACAACGAGACTGTAATCTTGTCACTAATTTTAATTTAATTAAATATTTTGATCGTTCCATTAATCCATTTCCCAAACAACTTGGATTCAGTTAATTACATTCTTGACTTGGTATTATAAAAAAAATATATATGTCCTAAATGCATTCGAACCCTTTTAACACTTTGCCTCTAGAAACTTTGTTCCATTAATGGACGAACATTTTTGAGTAGCAACTACTGTATAACATTACTCTAAGTTGCATTGAGTGACCACTTTGGTCTGACTATAATGGCCACTATAAGTGAAGATCACAGCCTAACTTTTAATTTCATTTTAATTAGTGTCGTTGTTTCCTTCTCTGTGTAGTCAGTAACTCCACTAACCACTTCTATGTTTTTGAGTTTCAATAATACGCACCTAATACGCATAAATTTGAAATTTGTTCATGTTTTTGTTATTAATGAACTCTTTGAAACCGATTCAAAAGTCGGAATAGAGAGAAAGAAGGGAAATGCAATGGCGTAACTACCGGCTGCCACCCGAATTTACCTAATATCTGATAAGCATCAGTTTCGGTGACATCACCAACCATTCATGATGCCGCCACCAAACCTGATGAGGGGATTCTGATCAGATGATTGATGACTGGTGCTGTTGCCAGTATAGAAAAGTATATCAGCATTTTATTTGTCACCGAAATTGATATACTAAAGCAACACAAACAAATCTTGATAGTGTTAATATGTGTATAACACTCATGCACATTATAATGTGTTAATAACTTTAAAATAATAAACTATACGTGCCTCGGCCTGGCCCCTATGCCTAGTTGTAAAAACTGTCACTTGAAGGCCGATATCATCGTGATGGATGGAAATCCACAGTGAAACAGATCGTCACATTTGCACCTTCAGCACATTCTCATTTGAGTTTTCAAGAAAACCTGCAATGTTCCTGCCATCCTGCTAATCTCAATCGGCCGATGACTAACAAGCCAGCCACTATATACCCACCACCACTAATTGCATATGAAAATATTCACAGTATTCTTGTCATGAGCCATACTC